AAAGGGGCCATTCCTTTTGGCAGTTTACCATTGGGGGGATTTTACCAGTAGTTGACACGCTTGGTAGGCGGATTGGCAACCGCAGTTAGGCTTTTGATGATATTTTAAAAGGTACGCTGCTGCCCATTCCTCTACATTCCGTTAGTCGTCTCTTACAAAAAAGGAAGCGATAGCCCATTCAGTGCCGGGTCACACGGCAATATATAAATCTCATATAGACATTTATTACATAATAATTTACAAATATTTTTTTAACCAATATCATCATTGCAATTGAATTCCAATATATTGACTAGTTTGAATCGGAATAGAAATATAAATGCTTATTGATATTCAAACTAGCCAATATAAAAATAGTAGTTTAACAATATACAATTATGTCATAAACCTATGATTTGGTACGTAGTACCAATTTACTACAGAACTAATCGTTTCGAATCGGCCACGATTACGTAAAGGTCACAACAAACTAATTGCAACACAATATCAACGCGTACTAACGAGGTAACGTATCGACCGTGCATATCCTCGTCACGTTACTTCAAACACGTTGCAAACAAAATGAGCTAATTTTACATTGATATATAAAATTAACAAGATTCATAATTCCATACAAATTTTAAATAAAATTATAAGAATTTTAAAAATATAAGTCAATAATTATCGTAGAACAAAACAGAAGTGAAGTCAAATATCTTACCTAAAGCACTGTAAGTAAAAATATAGTAAATCGTGTATTTTTACAACATTTACATGAATGTTTCAACATGTTTCACAACATACGTCACTGAGTAGTTTGAAAGGCATTCACAATGCTCAGTGCCACTTTTTGTCTTTGTCTCTATATCTTAGGTATATGAATCTATGTACTCGTAGTTTAACAACAAAGTGTCATGTTGAACAAATACTATTACATTAAAACCACATTTCATATAGTGCAATCAATATATATATTTAAAATTGTATACGAATGTTTTTTTAATTATGATAAACTCAGCATGCAACGGACAGGTACATTTATTTGTGTTGTAGCCTTATAATACTTGGTTTTGCACGATAACAGCAGTGCCGACTTATATCAGTTAGCAGGTTAAGGCAGTGCGTTCGTTGCATCACCGCCAATCCACTTCCGCACTACCGGGGCTAAGGAAGTGATTTTTATACCGCTGCTATGGCGACTCTATTTTTATTAAACTAATTGATGACTTCGTTGTAATCTTCCGCTTATCTTTATCTTACATCAGAATTGGTTCTGATTCTCATTTAAATTAAAGTAGATTGTACCATGAAATTATGTCACAAAATCACTATTATGAATATTCTAGTTACTTCATCGCTTTCTTTTCGTGGTCATTAATTTATTTTAACTAATCAGTTAATTGAAACATTATGAGCCTATTATTGACTTGGCTACTTTGATCGTAAATATTAAAAACGAAATAACTTGCAAGTTATCATTATTGTTAAATGTATGTATTATCAACTAGCGATCTGACCCGGCTTCCCACGGGTAGATAGAATTGTCAAAAATAATATATAGCCTATATTACTCGGTGGTAATGTGATGATAAAGCTTACTATAAATGAAAGAATTTTTAAAATTTAAATTTTTTTGAGTATATCCATTATAAACAAACTATCAAACCTTTCCTCTTTATAATATATCTAAGTATAGATGTTCAAACTAAAGTCGTTGAAATAATTGTATATTTTGGTTAATATAACTATATATGATACTAAAGTATACTACATTATGAAACAAAGAATGAATGCTAAGAACATTATGGCAAATCTATCCGCCAACCAGAATCTAAACTATATTATAAGCACTCTTTTGATCTTTTGATCCCCATTTTACTCATTTATATGTAGATATAGAAAAAACTTATAGGAAAAAATTAATTGGGAAAATTATTCTCAATTTTTTAACACTTCATTTTCTGTATTTCTTATCAGTATGTAATATACAGTCGATTTTGTTTGATAACATTTTAAATTTCGGATCAGGACTGATGAACCAGTCAAGAGTTATGACATTCAATTCATGTAAATATTTTCAATTGCATTATTACTTTCGTAATCGACCTTTAACACTACAAGTTTGGTTATCGCCTTGGCACCTGACTGAAGATGATTGATTTATATACTAACCCACAAACAGTATTCCACGATATTTGCCTTCTAAACTAGAATAAGAAGTGCCTTATTTATTAGTCCAGGTGGTCTACCATGAAATGAAATTTCAAATTTTCGGGCTCAATTTCGTGTTTTTGTTCGTACTGAAATCGACCCAGTAAATGGAGCTTAACATTTTGTTCATTATAAATCCTATCCTAATAGTCCAGAGGAACGATATTTTAATATTTTTAATAATTTTAAACGGCATGTATTATATAATTTTAACATCAAATTTCTGTTACGTTCGTCCCCGAAATTTCAGAAAATATTTCATGGTAGGCCCCCAGATCTGTCCATGTATGTATATAGGTAATTCCATATTATATTATTTATACATATGTGTATAAGTAATTTTATGTTATATCATTTATTTATTAAGTTACGGATTAACCAATCTCTTCAAATTAATTTAAATGTAAATTATATCATTTAAGGAAATAAAATTAAAATAATACTATTACCTAAGATACACTTTCAACTTCAAAATAAATTCTATACTAATAATATAAAAAGGGAAGTTCTGAGTGTTTTTTTTTTTTGTCTGTGAAGAATAAATTCAAAAAATATCGCTAAAAAGCTACATTATCATCGAGTAGTATAAGTTTTATATTATTTTCCAATACTAAACTCCCATGCGAAACAAAGGCTGATTGCTAATTGTATATATACATACATATTTATTATAATAAATCTCAATTAACATTCTACATAAAATATGGAGATTTCATTTTCTGTGATATTTAAAAGGAGTTTATAATTGCCCAATCTTTATGATCTTGAACTTTTACAATATTATCATCTTTTTATTTCCTGACTGTAGCGACTATGTTATGCAATGTTTCGTCACATTCTCTCTTCCATCTCTAAAATATTACAAAAAACGATAATAAAATATAGAACAGTAAAATACAATAAAATTCCGGCAAATAATGACCCACCGCTTCCTTTCCCGTGGGTATCGTAAGAGGCAAATAAGGAAATTTAATGCAGTTGCCAATCCGCCTACCAACTACTGGCAAAACCCTCCTTATGAGGGAGGTCTTGGTTCAACAGTAACCAGTTAATGGCTCAAAATAGGTAAGTATATTATTATGTCCTTCTTTTATAGGGAGAGCAATATAAAGTACTATTAAGATTAAGAATGAATGCATTGTTGTAAGGTATTAATAATTCTCACAAATGCTGTAGTAAGTTGAATATACGCCGAATATGTGAAATAATGGATATTGTCTGCACAGTTGTTATTGTGATAAGTGTGAGAAGGTACGCAGTACATCTGTACACTTGTAACACTTATCTAAGTGTTACAAACATAAGAGCATTATTATACTGAGTTATTTTAGTACTTATTCCTAAGATATTTTAGTACTTACAATGTTATATACTCCTTTGTAGGTATACGAGGATATGGTCAAGTTTATTGAAATAATCAACAATTTAACAATCTATTTTTCTTAAAAGTTATGGAAAATTGTTAGTAGATGTGGTCCAACCCATAATTATAAAAAGTAATCTAAGGTAATGAGTTTACTGTAGGTACTTAAGAGGAAAAGGGCGCAAAATATATATTTTTTTTAAATATGTGAAAGGATACCTGAAAAATATTTCTTATGCTAGTTATTTTACTTATCAGGTTCTACAATCAATATATTTATTGAAAATTAAAGGATTCAAATTAATTCTTTTTCATAAATATCCAATGTAGGATATATTTTTTTTTATAAATTAACCGCTTACTATCATATGAGCGGTATGCTTGTTTGCCACCTCAGTGCTATTAAAAAAAAATTGTCGACTAAAATATGCAATATCTATACATAGTAGGCAGAATTTATAATCTTTGTAAAATTTATTAGACTGTAAAATCTAACCTGTATAACATAGGTAATTTATTGCATAATACTGCCATACCTACCGCATGGCCAAGCGAACGCCGCGAGGCGGAGTTTAGGAAGTCCGTGGAAGTTCTCAACCGCACTGGTAAATTACCCTTCAAAACACCTACGTAACATAAATTACTATCTTAGTATTTATTGTAATCGACATAGCCACTGAATCTGATACGAAACACGGCTTTACTTGCACTATACTCGTATACTCATACATATTTGAATGACTGTTGATCTAAATACCTACTATATACCTGAGAACAGATATCAATTTTAGCGCCTGGTAGTTACTAAACCTATTAAGAGGAGGAAGGAATTCTTAGTAATGGAGAGGTTTGTTCTCATTGTTAGTAATATACTCTGTCAACTCGGCTTCCACACGGTCCCCCTGGAAACCGTTGTAGAAAATTAATGAGTAGATAATTCGCGATGACGGACCAACTGATCTGACATCATCCTCATCAATCATCACTTAGTGGCACTCCAGCAGCATATGTCAATAGCGGCAACGGGATTATCATTATATTCTATTTTCACCCCTGAAAAAATCATATGAAGAAACTCGATTAAATTTAATGATTTTATTCTTTTGATTAACCAACTACCTACTCCAAAAATAAATACCGCAAATTAAATTAGACTGTCAAAAAGAAATATAAAAACTGCTTACATAATATATGTATTGCTTATACACATATGCATATAAATATACACATTTACATATACCTACTTACACAAACACATACATGATAGGTACATAGCTAAAAAAAGATTAAATGAAACAAAAATTACTCACGTCTGAAATAAAATGTGCAAATAAAAGCAAAAGAAAAGAATAGAGAAAATGACAATGATATACGTGTTACTTTAATCCTTAATTTCTGTAGTAGTCTATTATATTAGACAATAAATCTTAAGTATTTTTCTTTCCAGGCCCGGTGATATGCTCAGGCTTCATTTGACAGACAGACATCTCCGAGTGATGTTGTGGTGTATCCTACTTGGTCTGCAGCCAGCCTTTGCCGGTATACTTGATCCTTTCAATTGGGCCCGATCAGATCGTATCGAAGTCAACATACCCTGGCTGCCATGTAAGTTTTAATTTATAATAATTTTATCATTTTTAATGTATTATTTTATATATTATATAATTATGTATCTATTTGCCAATACTTGCATAAGAATCATATTTTTTGTAATTCTTTAACACTGTCAATATTTAGTTGTATGCAATACATACATTGAATATTTATATTCACAGTATTTGAGTATGCAAAATGCTCATATAATAGTTGCAGTATCTTTCATTATGTAAATTTTCTGCAAACGACAATTTGCTTTTAGTTAAAGCATAGAGTTTGATATTGACATAGAAAGTTTCAATACATATTAACCCAACAAACTTATGTTAATTTACGAATATAAATCTTACGCGAGTTTTGGTTTTTCTTTTTTCTAAAGAAAAATAAAGCTTTTAGTATATGCAAATGTAAAACCAATCGCCTCGTGGATGTTTAAACTTTCCCCTGCACAACTAGCAAATGAATCCATAGATAATTACATTATCATTACCACATGCATGTGCATAATAACAAAATGGCAACATCCCATATTTGTCATTCACAATGAAATCGTATCTATAATATATAATATATATAAGATTCATTACATAGTTGTCATGGAAGCAACGCAAGAAGACAAAATTTCACAAGTATCAAAACAGTTTCTCATTCATAATAATATTTTTATAAGGTTTTATATTTATATACTATATAAATTCCTCTATTCAATAATGCACCGCTTACGTATTTCTCGCTTTGGTCAATGTTTGACTGATAGAGAACACCATCCGGTGTTAAGTCCGCCAAATGTACATAGAATTTTTCTGTCCATTAAAGTTTAAATAATTAAAAAATATGTAAGTGAACAGGTAGACAAAATTATCATCTTAAGTAATTTTTAAATTTTAGTGTTACTATTAATTATTATTAATGAGGAATACAAGGAAAACATCATCATTATTAATTCAAAGCAAATTTCATTTTTAAATTTTATATTGACTTATTGATAGAAGCTTATACCTACCTACCTTATATATACCTACTGATTATATAATTATTCCATTTTAGTTGAAAATGAAACACGATGCTATGATGAACTTGGATGCCTAAATATAACTAGAAGCTGGTACCACCTCATTCATCGACCTTTCAACGTGTTTCCCTTGCCTAGAGTTGTTATCAATACAAGGTTAGTGAAATAGGGTTTTTTAATAGATAATAATGAAATCGTGACCTCGCCTTGAAAAGTACTGCGGGATAATCATTAGGTAAGAATGAAGTCGAGTTAGTTGAATCTATAATATATAACTAACGATAATAATGGTTTGATAATACATAAGAGAAAAAAAAACATTAATAACAATTACTTTTAGGTAATTACTTTGTTTAGAATTCGATATGTACATGATTTTAAACAATTTTTTACAAATTTCTATAATGGGCATTGATACTTAAATAACTTATTTTCAGATTTATACTGTACACAAAGAAAAATCCCACTGATGGACAGATATTAAACGTGAATGTCAACAAAACTATTGTAAAATCAAATTACAGCCCTTCAAGACTAACGAAAATGATTATACATGGTTTCATTGATACACCATTATCGAATTGGGTTTGTCACTTTATATTATTTAAAAATCGAATTTCGAATCTATACGACAATCGACATTACAGCATATATACTATGCCTATATTTATCATTTTTATGATTATAAATAAGTAATAAAATAAGTTCCTAAAAACGTTTATAGAGCTCTTACTACACACGTACTAGCGCTCTTTATACCTTGTCTCGATTCTATTTATTTATTACCCTAATTACTACAATTACAGAGCCTGCCTGCCAAAGTCATCGTCTTAAAATTTTATAAGTATACGTACTAAATTAAGTTTACATAAATTAAATATTCTTTTTTTTTAATATATCGTACATATATTAAAAAATATATACTTATTCGTCAATTTCAGGTGAGTGAAATGAAAGACGAGCTCGTTAAAGCTGATGACTATAACGTAGTGGTGGTGGATTGGGCTGGCGGTAGTCTACCTTTGTATACGCAGGCCACGGCCAACACCAGACTAGTAGGGCTCGAAGTAGCTCATTTCATCAACACATTACAGGTAATCTGTATTATATAAATTTAAATCTAATTTTATTATGCTGAATACCATTTTATGTAAAGTCTCTTGATTATTTATTATTATGAAATTATTATACAATTTAGGGCATGCTTATTTTACGTGTAAATGTAAAATTTTGTTAGTAGCTCTAAACTCTTTAACGAATTTCTCATTTAATATTTCACGCTGAAAATTACATACTTAAAATTAAATATAAATCACATAACAGTTGCCGATAAAAGCATCCTGTAAATATTATCAATCGATAACCTGAATTGCTTCTTTTTTTAATAATATTATTTTTATATTATTTAGATTTTGAACTTGAGAATATTTTATTCTCAAGAAATTTAAAATATATAATCTTAAATCAGAAATGTATATACCTAGTATCTTTTTATTTCACAGAGAGAACATGGGTTGAATCCTTTGGATGTCCACATAATTGGGCATTCTCTAGGCGCACACACTGCTGGGTACGCTGGAGAGAGAATACAAGTAGGATGACATTTTCAATAATATCGATTACTCAATTACAACAATATAATATGAAAACTATTGTGTCTACACATTATCTTTGATTTAGCCTCTAATTCCATAGGGTTTAGGAAGAATAACAGGATTAGACCCGGCTGAACCCTACTTTCAAGGAATGCCAACACATGTCAGATTGGACCCGTCTGATGCACAGCTCGTGGATGTCATCCATACTGATGGAAAGAGCATATTCCTTTTAGGTAAAACCATAGGTGGCATATATTTAAAAATCGTTATTTGCACGCTCGCTTTATATACTCATTTTACGCTGCACTGTTAAATAGTTATTTTTTGTGATAAACCATTGTAATAAACTGACATTATATGTATAAAAGTAGTCGCTTACGGAGTTGAGGGTATATTTTAAAATTCAATTTATATACCTAAATACCTACTATATGTAGGTAAAGGTAGTTCCTAATACATAATAATGGCTCCTTCAACTCTTGTAACGTCTGCAGATGTATTTATTTTTAAGTTGCTTAATTGCTTTACAATATAATCATTAATTTACTAACACATACCTATATTTATTTATATATTTATGTAAATACAATACTACATGCTTTTCTGCTAAATTCAATTATCATTCATGTACATATATTTTATATATTATATATTTTTTGCATTTATAAACTAATTTACCGACGTGTTTATTTCACGCGTGCGACAGATTTTGTGTTTATGGCAGGATATGGGATGTCACAACCCGTGGGTCATTTGGACTTTTATCCCAACAATGGAAAGGAACAACCTGGTTGTGACCTCACTGAAGGGCCGTTAGTACCTTTAACCCTCGTCAAGCAAGGTCTCGAGGAGGCCTCAAGGGTACTGGTAGCCTGTAATCATGTTAGGGCTATTAAACTCTTTACGGAATCTATTAACGGAAAATGCCCGTACATAGGTAAGTACTTTACACATCATTTTAAAGCATGAAGAAATAATGACAAATGAAAGGATAACAAAATAGGTATACAATGTTAAAACAAAAGAATGCAGGGGTCAGAAGAGACCTAAACGAAAGTTTTAAAGAAGATTCAAGAATTCTAGGAATTCATAAAACAAATCATAAAAGCAAACAAAAGTTATTTATATTTGAAATAAAAAAATATTATAAAAATACATAATAGATGAATATATATTATATAATTATTTTATTTTGTGCAGGTCATCAATGTCCATCTTATCAACATTTCTTGTCAGGAAAATGTTTCCACTGCGGACATGGTTGTGCTATAATGGGGTAAGCTTCGAATTGACTATTTGTTTCTTTTTATTAAAAATGTTTTTACACAATTTTTTTTACAATTCCAGATTCCATGCCGACAGTTCCCCGGGTCTAATTACAAATAAAAATAACCAATCAGAGAACGAAGTTTACCCCTCTGAAGAGCATGATACCATTGGAGCTAAATATTATCTAAGCACAGGAAAAGAGTTGCCGTTTTGTCGTTAGTTACTTTCTATTTAGGTGTCAATTCTAGAATTGTAATTATTTAATTTTTTTTTAACTTTTCATATAACCTATTGTTTTTTTTTTTTCAGAACGTCATTATAAAGTGGCTATTCAACTGGCAAACCCCAAAGGCGCAGAATCTTGGGTTCAAGTAAGAAATCCTCTCAAAAAATATATTTATTAATGAATTAATTATATCTAATTTTAATTGTTTGTAACAAAATATAAAATTTCTAATCTTGGCAGGGCTTTTTGAAAGTGACTCTATTATCAGATCGTGGTGTAATACGAGGAATGGATCTCACTCCAAGTAATTATGTAAAGTAAGTTTCAAACAATACTTTTTTATGAAATAATTTGATACTTTATTCACTTATAAATGTAAACGTGTTATTCCATTTTACTATCTTGGCGCCTTAATAGCGTAATTAAGCCAAACGAAATTTCGCATACACTATTGATTTGGAATGGTGAACAAGATGAAACAGTTATGTATAGAGACAATTATGCCAATTAATGAATAAATCCCAGTCACGCGAACAAAGTTACCGGTGTAACTGGTACTGTACCGGTATAACTGTATATATTATATTAAATGTGATACACGCTATTTATATACATCTTGAAGAAAATAGAAAAAACAAATATTGTTTATTCTGTCTATCTGTATGTTTGTTCCGGCATCACGTAAAAACTATTGCCTGAAATTAGATGCGGGTTTCACTTCATTATTTTTGAAGATTTTACTGATATATGTTTTATCTTATTACGCTATAGATAGCGTGTACTTCTAGAGAAGTGGCCTATTTCATGGGTTTTTCTTCATCTGAAATCAACACATAACTACAAAGTAGCGAGCAAAAAACTAGTAGGTTATTCATAAATAATAAAGCAGTTAATAAAGACATTGCCAATAATATTGGAATCTTTATTACAGGTTAGAACACGGCACGACGTATACAATTGTTGTAACACATCCGATGGATTTAGGTGGAAAAGTTAGGAAGGTATTAAATTTTTTTTAATTTTAATTATAAATTATTATATATACTGCAACATCATATATTTGATTTACAAGTATAATATTTTAATTTCTAGGTAGAGCTATCGTGGGAGTACGATATGAATGTACTGGAGCCGCGATCTCTGTGCATCCTCTGGTGTAACGATCGACTATACGTAAAATCTGTGCTCGTTGACCAAATGGAACTACCTAGCAGAGGGTAAGATATTAATCTTTCTTATTGAATTTATCAAATAGTAACCGATCCAACAAACATTCTGTATAACGTCTTTTATTTATTTTTTCTTAAAAACCTTTATAGTTTTTAAGAAAAAAAAAAGTGGATCGTTACAAACATTTAAAAAAAACTAAATCGATCCAGCCACTTTAGTAATATAATATTCATTTTTTATGTACATACTTGTACTATTTATACACATGTAATCTACTAAAATATATTTCATAATGACGTTTAAAAAGGTAGTTGAAAAATTTGACAACTTTTTAATCCTTTTGTAGTGTAACTGAAAACCTAAGCTGAGAACGTACTTTATCCCGGAAAACTGATAGATATAGATTGGAATCCTGTCGAATTGAGCTATCGAAAAGTACAAAAAGTTTGACATATTATTTAGTTTATCATATCATCATATGAGCCGTTAACTAGCTACTACTGAACATAAGCCTCCCCCCATAAACTGCCATAAGAAACGGTCCAACCGCCTGCGTCCACCGACTCCCTGCAATGCAATTGAGGTCGTCAATTCATCTATTAAAATTTTGTTGTTTTGTAATAATTTTTACTGTATTTAGTAGCATGGAAATACATAACAAAAATATGATATGTACTAATGTTATTTTTAAAACTTATGTTAATTTTTTATTCGATATCTATATACTTATTTAACGGGAAATTAACAAATTCACTATGTTTTTGTCGTTTCCAATAATTGTTTTAACTCCATCCGATAGTCTACTTCAGGAGACGTTTGGCGCTTCATGTCACAACTGTGTTAAACTCTTTCATTAATTTCCGATTACATATGTATATGCAATTATGACTCTATACCTGCTTATTTATTTTTATTTTTTAGGAAAAGAAACGTTGACTTTAGTAGTAAATTATGTACACCAAAACGAGAATTTGCTGAAATCCCGAACCGTGGCTCCGCCAGCTTTTACGACAACTGTGGAAGGTAGCCGTGCCATAGATACGCGTAAAGTGATCTTGTTGTTTTTTCATCACAGTCTACACCTGCATGTAGACTTTAAGCTTTAAGCAACCAGACAATGAACACTCAGTGACGCAAGTCTGGTCGCATACCCTTAGAGTGATTGTGACTGTCTCAGTGATGTTGTTACAGGGTGAAGAAAAGTGTTTTTCTGTAAATTATGAAATAATTGTTGAGTTTTGTAAGTAGACTAAGTCAGACATCAAAATATACAATGTTTTATATTTTATTATACGATTTTGAACTATGAATAAAATACTCATTGAAATTTTACCACACGACTTTATTTGTTCTTGTTATAATCACATATTATTATAGCCTATCCTTTTTTTACCAAATCATCAGTCCTCAGAGACAAATAGAAAACGTAGATATATGAAACGATATATAAGTACGCCCGTCATCGACTGCATGAGATGCACTGTACCTATTTATAGATAATAGAATACTGAATGTATATAAGTATAGAAGGTGAAAGCTAAATCGTTACCAGAACATTAAATTAAAAATGTTATGAAATATTATATACCCACGCTATAAAATATTATAAGACAGAAATATTGTGAATCAGAAACTTTAAAAGTACAAAATTATTTGAGTTTCCTATACCAACTTAATCCATAAATTGGTAAGAAATATTTAATTAGCATTATAAGTTAGACCTTCAGAAACAAGTGTGAAAACCGCATCAAATTTAGTGCAGTACATTTTGCTGTCTGAACAAACATAGACAGACAAAGAATTTAATTAATATTTTTTTATTGATATCTAATTATTACAATTTTGAATTCCTCTCTAATCGCGATAGAATTTATTTACAATGATAAAGTAGAAGTAATAAATAAATTTGAAGAGTAGATAACAAGATACAAGAATACAATAAAAATTATAATATATATAATAATAATAGATAATAATAATAATAGATATAAAAGACACAACACAAGCAACCGGAACAAACTTAATAGATAAAAAAATGAATATCAAAAATTTGTTTTTATTTAAATGGAACAGGATGTACATATGTTATGGACCAAGTGATTAATGTGGGCATTATAGAAAATTCCCGGCCTTTATTTATTTATAATATATATACATATTTCTGATGAGCTTTACAGATTTACCAATGCACTCAGCAAAAACTAAAAAATCGAACATTATAATAATACAATAATGGAATAATAATAATAATAAAAAAATCTAATTATATTTAAAAAAATAAACATTAAAAATGCCTTTCTACGTAATTTGTTACCGTACTGCGAAACTCTGGCGGTACAGTGAAAAAAGTCCAGTTCAGAACTCGCTACTACCTCATAAAGCAGACGTAGCGCCTTCGTGAGTGGCGCCTGATCAGCATAGAATGTCCTGTTGCGTGGTAACGCGAACATTCCGTGATTACGGTCACGCTTATCCAGTACTGGTACAGACATGCTTATAAGATTCAACATAACCGCATTGTACTTAATTCCTCTAATTATACTGTAGAAATACTCTAGCAGAGAGATAAGTTGCCTTACCTTTAGAAAATTTTATCCCACCATACCCATCAGAAAATTGCTCAGATATATATGAAGAGAACCTACATGATATCCATACTGCTGTGGTTTTATGAATAATGGCTAGCTATATCGGACCAACTAATTAATTATAATTAAAATTTTATTATTTATCACATTTTCTAGTCATTATGAATATTGCTACGTGAACATTGAATATCGCGTGACACGATTTGACCAATCAGAGACCGCAACGATAACGTGTAAAACAGTTATTGATGTTTGTTTAAGTAAATAATCATGGATATATCAAAATTGAATGACATGAATCGTCGATTTGACGAAAGATTGAATGAATTATTTATCACTAAAAGGACAAAATACTCAGTTATTCACCACACGAAAAAGTTAAATCTACAAATTCAAAAAAAAAACATAAAAAAACTAGAACATTATCAGCATTTGCGAAGATTTGATGTTATGACGTTTTAAGTTAGGTTTAGGATTATTATAGATGTATTTAAGTTTTTATGTAATAATAAAACATGTTTTTTATTACTCTGTCCCATATGTGACGGATATTGCATGTATAATGCCCGGACAATAAAATTATTTGAATAGTTATTATCAAATTGTCATCTCATGTAGCTTATTTTTCATAATACCCGGGCATTATTTATAATAACCATTTTATCACGTGGTCCATAACAAATACATAGAGGTCGTACAAATAAATGTTTCAAATAAGAATTGTGTATTGTAAGATTTTAATGTGATATATATCATTTATGTCATTTTACACCAAAATCCCGATAATATACGAAAAAGCATATGCCTGCATACTATACAATTAGTCCTTTGCTTGAGAAAGAAATGGCCTTTATCTATTTATATCTATACTTATAATAAATCTGTAGAGAGGTCAATTCTGTACATGAAATATATTTCTAAAATAACTATCAGGGGGCGATTAGTGATCGATACTGATGCCAAAAAAGCAATAAGTAAATTTTTTGTCTGTCTGTATGTTCGTTATAGAAACAAAAACTACTCGACGGATTTTAACGAAACTTGGTACAATTATTCATCATACTTGTACCAAGTTTCGTATACTACATACATTCTGGGCGGGTTATAGTATACTTTTCATCACGCTACGATCAATAGGAGCAAAGCAGTGAAGGGAAATGTGTCTGTTACATCAAAACCACTGAACTGTGAGAAAGGACATATGCTACTTATTTTACGAAAAACGACGGAAACGCGGACAAAGTCGCAGGGAACAGCTAGTAATAAATAAAGCTTTGGCTCGACTACGTTGATTGAGCTCTTTTTCACAGATTAAACCACTACGTATGATTGTTTCAGGGGCTAATTTTACTCAATTCCGTCATCTGTCTTTTTCCGTTACTTGCCAAGCCTGCGACTATTTGAATAACGACGTTTTTGTATGAAGCTATGTTACCGTCCTTAGCTAATATTAACAAATTATGCTTGAATATGGCGGATCATAGCCATCTTGAATAGACTCCATAACTTCACATAATTTCCAAACAGTACGAGTACTTCACCTATAAATAACTATTTTTAAATATTAAAATAACTTATATGTGTTTTAATAAATTAATATTTTATAATTGTTCTCTATACCAATGTAATTTAAAATAGAGAACAAGCCACATTTTTAGCACAATTTTTAATAAATTTTAATTAGTGAATTAACAATAAAATTAATATAGTTAAGTGTATTATCTAATTAATTAATTTACTCGTTCATTTAGTAACGGAGCTATTTTCTATGCTATATTATCAATTTTAATTAATTTCTACAATTAATACTAATGGTAGCATTGTACTATTCGCTCTACTTTTTATCGATATGAATTGAAAATTAATTATAAGGAATTATACTATATTAATAAACGACGGTCAACAATTGCTAGGCAATACTCGCAATAGGTGTCACACCTCTTTTTAATTTTAGACAAATCAAAAAGTATTATCACAATATTCATTTATTTCATTGTACTATTAGTTCGCAAAGGTAACATGCATTTCATTTTTCTAGTTTTACATTATGAGGTCACTGCCAACTCGTATAACATAGTAATTTCTTACTCTGTGTTATTTCTTTAGAATCTAAGAAAAAAGGCGGGAAACTCGAATAAGAACAAGCGGGTTTTTTAAATTTTTTTTATTAATTTATTAAAACTATCTCTATCAATTCTTATTATTGAATAAAATATTATATTTTCACTAAATTCAGCGACAGTAATATAATTAGCATTCATGGGGAAGCGCAGTTGTAGAAAAAGGAAAAAAAAAGATGACGATTCAGGTGATGTAGACCATGAACCTTGTAATGACAAGGATATATATTCGGAAGATACTTCTACTGACTCAGAATCTGAAATTGATAAGGCCGATAAGTATAAACCTTACTACGTCACAGATTATATTAGAAGATATCCCGAGGAATCCCCTGGGACAGAATTTGTTGTCTTTGTAGAATCCTCAGATAGTCAGAAAACCATTGGATCCAGAGACTTGCTCTCACTCTCCTCCTGTTTAAAACGATTTAATAAAGGGGTAACTTATCTTAGATCTATAAATAAATTCAAAATCGGAGTATACTTTCAAAAGCCAGACTTAGCCAATGCTTTTTTAAATAATAAAACTTTTTTAAATGACTACCATTTTAAGGCCAGTATTCCTGCTTCTTCAACAGAAGTTACAGGCGTTATTAGAAATGTACCTACAAATATATCTAATAAAAAAATATATACTATGATATCGAGTTCTAAGAAAATTATTGCTATTAAAAGAATTTTAAGAAAAAATACCTTGACTCATGGATATGTGTTACAGCCAACTCTAACCGTGACAATTACTTTTGCTGCATCTGTATTACCTGAATATCTGGATATTGGAGGTTGGCGCCACAATGTCACTCCATATATACCACCAGTTAAACAATGCTACCGGTGCTTGAGGTATGGACATTTAGCTAAATTCTGTAAGAATTCTGAGCGTTGCAGCATCTGCAAAGGTGAGCATAATTATAAAACTTGTACAACTGGAATGGAAAACGCTATTTGTGTACACTGCAATGGAAATCACACAAGTGTATCACCGCAATGCCCTGTTAAACAAAAGAAAATTGCTGAAAATAGATCTAAATTCAGACCTGCTTCTTTTGGAGATATACTTAGCACTGAAATATTTCCTAAACTGGGTAACAAACCTAAAAAAAATGTAGACCTAATTTCAATTCTAAATTCTGATAACAAGAGTTTATCACTTTTAATAGAAAGCATAATCAAACTTATTTCACTACATAACACAAAGAACACATCTATTAACACTAAAAGTGTTTTGAATGTGTTATATGATACTTTTGGTAATACACCTATTTCACAAAATTCAATCGAGACCAATTAACTATCATACAGTGGAACGCTCAGAGCCTACTGAGCAATCGACATATTTTTACACAATTTTTAAATGAACATCATATTCACATTGCTCTCATCTCAGAAACTTGGCTTAAACCACATTACAAATTAAAAATTAAAGATTATTGTATAGAACGAAATGATTGTGGTAATAACCACAATGGAGTAGCGATTATTATACATAATAGTATTAGATATAAAAAACTTCACTCTTTTTTCGACAATTCTTTGCAAACTATAGCTATTAGTATTGAAGTTAATAATTCTTGGTATTCAGTTGCCAGTATTTACTGTCCTACCAATAGTACACCTAGTTTTACTAAAGCCAAATTTAAGTTCTTTTTGGAGTCTCTTCCTAAACCCACTATCATATCTGGAGATTTAAATGCACATCATACTATGTGGGGTTGTACCTCCACTAATACAAGAGGTAAAGACATTCTTGATTGTTTAGATGAATGTAATTTGGTACTATTAAATGATAAGCAAGTTACTACTGTTGGCTCTCATATTTGGAGACCCAATGGCCTTGATTTAACTATGGTATCCCCATCCATATCATTAAAATGCGAGTGGTCGGTTCATGATGATCCGTTAGGAAGTTATCACCTGCCGACTTTTACTAAAATAAACACAAAGAACTCTTCATCAACTCCGTCAGGTGAACAACATGCTCCTATAGATGAAGTTAATAAACTTTTGTTAAATCGTATAAACCTACGTCTCGTTAATTGGGATCTTTATTCTGAAACTGTTAATCGATTACTTTTGGATTTCGAGTATGATGTCAATGAACCCTTAAACAATTACAATAGGTTCTGTAAAATTATTTTGACAGCTGTGGAACGTTCCGTTCCACGTAGGAACTTATCAAATAGCGGTGCAAATACTTCAAAGAGGCACAAACATATTGCAGTACCTTGGTGGAATAACAGGTGTGCGACAGCTGTCAATGATAGTAAAGCGGCTTACCTTAGGTTTAAACAAAATCCAACTCTCGATAATTACATAAATTTTAAAAGAGTTCAAGCTGTTAAAAAGTTAGTAATTAAGCAAGTAAGACAACAGGGGTGGCAGGAATTTTGTTCCAAATTTAATAGATTAACACCAATTTCCACTGTTTGGCAAAATATGAGAAAACTAAATTCAAAACATCGTCAAAATCATTTTAAAGATATATCATGGGTCAATGATTTTTTACGCAAATATACTCCTGATTTTGTACACTCACCTTTTGATGACAAACAGTTTAATTCTGTTAATTCATGCCCAAAATTTCTCACTGACCCATTCTCAATTGATGAAATATCCAGTGCAGTAAAATCTAGAAAAGATACAGCTAGTGGCCTTGATCGCTTAACATACAATATGTTTCGATTGCTGAATAAAATAAACCTTACTAAACTCTTACAAATTTTTAACGATTTATGGAAGGACTGTATTATCCCACCAGAATGGAAAATGGATTGTTTGATTCCAGTAATTAAACCCGGTAAAGATCCTACAAATTTCGACTCCTATAGACCTATAACATTGACGTCCTGTGCAGGCAAATTATTCGAACAATTAATTAAACAGCGTTTAGAGTTCTTTATTGAAAGTAATAGTATATTACCATCGAATCAATTTGGTTTTCGCCGTGGATATTCAGCGCGCGAAAGTTTAGCGAACTTCTATGTCGACCTTAGTACTGCTTTGAATAACGATGAATATGTTCTATCTGTTTTTTTAGATGTCGTAGGAGCTTTTAACAATGTAAATTTAACAGTTCTATCTTCGATTTTATCCTCATTTCTTCCAATGAAACTTATCGAATGGATTTATAATTTTCTTAGTAATAGAGAAGTGTATGTTAAAGTAAATAGTAAATTAATAGGACCTAGGTTAAGCTCTAAAGGAGTATGTCAAGGTGGTATTCTAAGCCCGCTACTATATATTTTATATATCTATAAACTTAATTCAATTTTAGGAAACAGTGTGAACAACTTGCAATTTGCCGATGATTTATTAATTTATATAAAAGGAAAGAATATTATTGATATGCAATTAGTGTTAAATGAGTCATTAAAAAGACTTGAGAAATATTTTTCTCTTCTTTCCCTCGATATTAGTTTAACCAAAAGTAAAGTAGTTGTTTTTCATCAAGTTCATAAATATGTTCCATTAATGAATATTATATATAATAACCAAACTCTTCCAACAGACTGTAGCGTTAAATTTCTGGGGGTAATTTTTCATCAAAATTTAAAATGGGATCTATACGTTGATTGCTTAGTAGATCGTGCTTTAAGAGCCACTAATATAATAAGATCTGTAATTGGTCGTAACTGGGGAGCTGATCCTAAAATTATCCTTTTACTTTACAAATCTCTTGTTAGAAGTAATTTTGATTACGCTTTCTTTTGTTATGCCTCAGAACATAAATTAGTAGAAAAACTCGAAAAAATTCAAAATATGAATTTAAGACTTATTTTAGGTGCTATGTATACTTCTCCAATTATCTCAATGCAAGTAGAATGTAATTTGCCTCCTATTCTTCTTCGTTTCGAATACCTAAAACTCAAATTTCTCTTCAAAGTTTTTTCAGTTTCCAATAACCCACTCATACTCAAATTATTAAATTGCCCCATTTCTATGTTTTTGAATAAAACTATTGTCAATGATTTGAATTTACGAGATGAATATAACATCTATAGTAGTAAGATACTTCCTTGTTATAATGGCCTTTATGAGAGTAAGTTCTGTAAGATCAAAATTGTTATACGTAAAGACATAAAAGAAAAGCACGATATGTATGAGACTTTATCAGAATTTATTGACTACAGGCAGATATATACAGATGGTTCCAAAAATGCACTTAGCACTTCAGTGGCTTTTTACGATTTGTCAAATAGATTTGGTCACGGTTATAAAATTTCAACTTTGGCTAGTATTTACACAGCAGAAGCAAAAGCTATATTTTTAGCATTAGAATACATAGAAAAACAGGTACTATATTCGAAATGGATTATAATTACAGATAGTATGAGTGTTCTTATGGCATTAAAAAATAACACATTCATTTCATCATCAAACTACTTAATTCAAGAAATTCGTAATAAATATTATCATCTCTGTACTATATATGGAAAAGATATTATCTTCATCTGGACCCCTTCACATATTGGAGTGTTTGGGAATGAACAAGTAGACACTTTGGCTAAAATTATTAATTCAAGTGCTGCTCGTGTTCAAGATTTACCCCTTTGTTACTCAGATTGTAGTATTGGAATACATAAAATCGTTACAACTAAATGGGAGGAGCATTGGACTCAAATATTACAGACTAAAGGCAAATGGTACCGCAAAATTAATTGGCGTATTGGAAAACCGTGGTTCTGCAAAGGAAAGGACACAAACAGAAAATTTTACACCAATATTTGTAGATTACGAATCGGCCACGGACATTTCAACGAACACCTGCACCGAATGGGCATGATCGCTTCCCCATCATGCACATGGTGTAACTCAAATACAGCCCAATCTCTACATCACCTTTTTTTTGATTGCTCTGAATTTGTCATTCAAAGACACATTATGTTTGACGAACTTAGGATTATCTTCAAAAAACCCGAAAATATCCCGCACTCAATCCCGCTTCTCTTAAGATTTCCTTCTTGTTTCAAAGCTATTTTCACTTATATTACTACAACATTCAAGGAGCTATAAGAATACTTTTATTGAATTGCAAGACAATGATTTTTTATAATTATTTATTTTTAATTTGATAAATCCACTGGTTTAAGAAAACTCAAGAAAAGATATTTATGAAAATGTACTTACCGGATTTGACAAATGAAATATTGAAGATTATGACAATAATTGAAGCGACATTAGAAAAATAAAATTCCAGACAAATTATCTTTTTGAAGACTAGGCAGCATGGTCTCCGACCTTAGCCTGTTCCAAACGGAACAAACGTACTAAAAAAAAAAAAATTTAGAATCTAATCTGTGGTGTTATTTTATTTACTCAATTATTTATCTACTTATAGGTCTATCTAATAATAATTTAATAAATAATACTACTTTTATAAGTACACATAGTATCGCTACCATTTTTCCTGCAGAAAATCAATAACTGAAAGTTTAAAGAAAATTATGCTACGATAGAAATACGTAATAATTATGTCATCTCCAGCTTCTAAACTTGTCTTAGGATTGTCTTGTGCTTTAACGTTAGGGATCGTTACTTACGTACATGTGAAACAACAAACAGACAGGTAAATGGAAATTATATATATAAATATAATTAATAAATATACTAAGCAAATAGATTGTACAGAAGTCGTCTTCATGAAAACCTCCACTACTTACCCCACTCATGTCTCTAGTCTAGAGAGTTACTAAGGTATAAATATTTATAATGTAGATAGTAATGACTTGCCCTTGAGTCGTATGGACTATATTGAGTGTTCATTTACCACCACAGCTAAAGCAACTATGGTTGCATTGCTATCAATTGAAGACAGTTAAGGTATGGCAGTAAAATTACTGGTTATGGGTCTTCATAGTGATTCGGACACAGTGAACCTGTCCAACATTTTGTCTACACTATTCAGAAAATCAAGAATGACAGTCCATATCAATGGTTACCACTTATAGTCCAAAATTATCAGAAACACTAAATGAACTTAGAAACAAAAATATTTAATCAATTGATTTTTGATTGACATCAGCATACGACATTGTCATATGGTCAGATTGTTTGTTTACACTTTCATAAAATTTTATTAAAACAGACTATAACGACCCATTAGTGTGTGTAGCTTGGAAGCAGCAATTATTTTCATGGGCACTACTACAAAAATATCAGCGCTATATTTACTGACTAGGATAAAAAGTAGACTATATACTTACCTTGCAGTATGGGTATACCAAATTTCATAGTGATTTGTTATACTGTTAAAGCGCTAAAACAAACTTAATCACTTTCACATTTATAATTTTGGTAATGACTACTAAAGTCATAAATATCTAATCTTATTTTTGAACAAACTGGTATATAAACTTTTTTGTCTTTTTATTGCTTGTATCCATTTAATAATGAAAGTATATATTAAAGTCCTTGATAAGAAACGTTCTCTGCAGTTATAATATTGAATATCAATGTCAATAATAAAGTATTAGGAATATTGTTAAACAGGTATATGAAATTAATCAACACTTTTATTTTTAGAGAGAAAATGCATGAAGGGGTTGTTAGAGACATTGAACGGCAGCAACGAAGGAAAATTGAAAACCTCTACTTGTTACAAAAACAGAATGACCTAACAAAACAAATAAAGAAGGAAATGGAAAATTCATAGACTTAAAAATTTACTAGGCATAGACTATTTATTAAATATAAACTATTAAAAACAATTTGTTAAAATCATAGACATTATTTTTTGTTTTCCTTTAGCCATACATCTAACATCACATCTTTGAGGTTCAAGTTAACACCAGTAGGTGTATTCTTATCTGTAGTATCTATAAAGCCATCATAACTTAGTTTCTGCTTCGCTACTGCTGCTAAACATTCAAATGTGTGTGGTTCCCAAGATGCTAAGTCTGATAATGACTTACGGTCCAGCATTATGTTTGCTCGATCTAAACCCTCCTTAAGAGTAAAATATGTGATATTATGCTGCTCACAAGCAGCTGTGATTCGAGTCTCCCATAAAACTTTCATATCTGCTTTTTTCAGTTTTCTTGCTTTTGTTGCATAAACCAAAGCTCTATGAACATTTCTAACAGCTATTGAGTAACAATTTCTTCGGCGACCTATATAGTGCGCTGCTAAACGAAAAATTTTCCTTTTTCTCCAAAATTCATCTGGGCCTCGGCTTCTCACCCAATTCACCACTGATAAAAATACCATGGTTCTTTATCTGAAAATAATTTATAGGTTAGATATATATAGCAAAAATATAAAGTATTAGAAGGTCTCTAATCTTGCTTTATGAGAGATTAAAAAAATAAGAATAAAATATTATGTAAAACTACCTAAATAAATGAACAAAACACTAATAAGCAACAGTATATATAATAGAATTCGAAACCAAAGATTACTTGACACAGAGGAAAAACATAATTGACTTCATTCAATTGACTGACAGTTCTTACTAAAGATAGTGAAGTGAAGAGTGGCCTAAAAATCGTTAAGTACCGATTGTTAAGTGACAAACTAAATGAAAAGTCAGATCGTATTCGATTATACAATATAATCGAATACGATCTGGCTATAAAGTAAATAAAAATATACATACGTTTGCCACATATGCTAAACGTATATTCTTATTATATAATAAAACACAAAGAACATTACACTCAAATGTGATGCACTGTGACAATTATAGACTCAGTAAACAATTAATAGGATATAAAGCAATTTAACTGTTTTAGTGAAAAAATCTAGAAAACATTATTTACCTAAGCAGAGTTGTCTACTTTTTATTTGAACATGTCCATTTTCAAATTTTCTACTTCAGTATTCCTTGATGCCTCTTCATCGTCACTTTCTTCAGGATCTAATTGACATGAAGCGCTGGATACATGAAATTTATCGTTTACAGACATTATGTGCCTAACTTCTGTTTTTTTACCAGATCGATGATTTCCACAATAATTATTCTGTTTGATTAAAAATCTTACAATCAAAAGCTAAAAGAATAAATAATAGATTAAAAGTATTATTTTTAGCACATGCCTTACTAGCCTATGTGAATAGGTACCTAACATAGTCTCAGTCTACTGTATTTACGTTCATAACCTAAGCTATGTACTATATGTAAAATAGTAACTTTAAGGAATAATGAGCACGGGAGCATAACACCAGTCCTCTGAAATAGGGAAACATGAAATATACCCTGTGCGTCACACTATGAGAGGCGGTCAAAAAGTTCGCGGAATGGAGGGGTTGGTGGAGGTTGGTTTACTTGTCCAGGTAGTCGCTTATTAAGCACCACATTGAAAGTATATATACCAAGTTTGAACCAAATCGAGTCATTAACTTTTGAGTTATCAACCTGCAAACAAGTGAATCGGGAAGAAGTCAGCAAATATGGAGAAAATTGAACACCGCGTCATTATTAAGTTCCTCACCAAGCAAGAAAAATCTGCTCAGACGATTTTTCAAGAGCTGTTAGCAGTTTACGCGTACTCTACTCTTGGTAAGACTGTTTTACAAGTGGCATGGTCTTTTCAAATAAGGAAAAGAGTCATTGAAGATGACCCTCACTCCGGACGGCCGATTAAGGCCACCACACCGGAAACGTCGCAAAAGTAGAAAAACTTGTATTAGAGGATACCCGGCTGAAGAAGAAGCAGCTTGCAGCAATTCGGGTACTCCAACCCGAAACAAGTATTTTAAATATTCTACATCATCATCTTGGCATGACTAAGGTCAATGCAAGATGGGTTCCAAGAATGCTCACTCCACTTCAAAAAAGTGAGTGTGTCGAGTGTTCTCGCCAGTTTTTGGAGCTGTGTGGAGAGAGTAGGGAAGAAGTTATAGCCTGAATTGTTACTGGAGATGCAACCTGGGTTCACCACTATGAATCTAAGTCGATGCAGTGGCATAATAAAAAGTACAGCTCCTCCGAAGAAGTTTAATGTGTCACAATCGGCCGGAAAGATCATGGCGATTATTTTTTTTTTATACAACAAGCTGACGGCACACCTGATGGAAAGTGGTAACCGTTGCCTACAGACATGAGCAGTACCATGGACATAACAGAGTTTACTGTTTTGCCCATGATACCCCCCATGCGTTGCCATTCCTGAGGACTCGGATGTTATTCCTCTGTACCCTGTAAATTCACACCATGTCCCACCCTTCAAACGAAACACAGCCATGCAAACACAACTACTTTTCGTTTGAAACACGAATGGGACAAAGGTATCCAAGCAAACGACTTTTGTACAAAGTCTAGTATCTTTTGGGATACAGAACGTATTTTGCTGATCGATTATAAAGATCGTGGTGTGACAGTAACGAGACAGTACCACGTGCAAGAAGCTATCAAGGAAAAAAAGAAGAGGAAAACTGTCAAAAGGTGTGCTCCTTTTGGACGACAACGCTCCCGTTCACACGTGTAATGTTGCGACGGCTGCTATCCTCCGATGCGGGTTTGGAAAATTAGACCACCCATCTCATAGTCCAAACTTGGCCCCCAGCGACTATTATTTATTACCAAAAATGAAAAAGGAGCTACGTGGAAAAAAATTTGGCGACGATGAAGAAGTCAAGTCTGCAATTTTGGCCTATTTGGACAAGAAAGGTAAACCTTTTTTTATGGTATAAACAAATTATTTGAGGGATACGAAAAATGTATTAAGGTTAAGAGAGAATATATTGAAAAGGAAAAATAGTTTCATGTTTAATTTCAACCCTCCCCCCTTATTCTGCGAACTTTTTGACTTCCCCTCGTGTATTCTGTGATGACCACGATTTTATTCATGTCTATAGACAATGATTACCACTTTTCATCAAGTAAGCCATCACCACATTAGTAATTCTATGTACCTATAATTAAAAAAATTTTGTAGTTGTGAATTAAATTCCTTGCATTTCCGGATTACACCTTCAAATATATTGCATTATAGAATGATGTAGATCAAAAAAAATCAACTCAAAAATCTCATTTATTTATCTCTAGTAAAATCTGCCAAACTGTCAGTTTACAGCTCGCTCCATGGTACAAATGGCAAAATATATATCTAGTAGGTAAATAAAGGTCTGTGGGAGAGGACTAAGTAGCTGCAGGTTTTTTTTTCTGTAATTTGTAGACAAATAAATTGAAGCTACACAGCTATTGCGATGTCATTGGATAACCGATATTTATTCATAGATAATCACTTTATATACCTTTAAACTAAAAATTGTATATTTAAATAGATAGGCAACTCACCTCAACTATTATTATTAAAATAAAAATTATTAAATATGCAGACATTGACAACATTATAACTCGACGTAAACGTTTTCCGCAACCCTTTGTATTGATTGAATTTGTTCCCAGCTCCAATAAGTAATTAGATATGCAGGAACCACTTTTGCAACAACTACGATTAAAAAACATTACGGTAACATAGCCTAGTCGACAAAATATATTGTTTCTTAGCGATACAGCCCACCTAAACAAAGCATAAACTAATCTATTAATAAAATCGTGTCGATCAGCGCTCGTATGAGAAAAAACAAGACAGCGCGCACATTGCCATCTCATTTTATCTCTTGAACTCGTAGGCGATAATGATTCTATCAATAGATTCGATTGTACTTCGTTTAAAGAGGCTGGATAAATAAATAATATACTCGCTATCCCAACAAACGTCATTCTGCCTTTTCCATGGAGGGGCGGAGATGTTCGTAATGTAGGAAATAGGTAAATTAATCCTCATTGCTAGCAAATTATCCTATTGTTTAATAGATGAAAATGGAATGGTGCATCCGCCTATGCTAACGACATACAATGATAAAGCACCAGTGAAGGATGAAACGATGACGATGAAGACAGGTCAGTTGGCCCATCATGTTGAATTCATATAAATTAACTACAATTATCCCCATTGCAAAATGGGGACCGCGTAGAGATCGATGGGGATCTTAGTCTTCATTGTTAGCAGTATACCCCTTTATAACAATTCCATATTATACCAATGCCTTGCCCCCAATATACCCTATTAGATTAACTTCCACGCCGTCCCTGGAAACCAACGTCATTAATTCCTAGTGAATTGCCCACGATGAGTTGACCGACCTGACTCACCAGTAATCCGCCATCACATACCGATAACGCAAGCGGATTTATCTTTCCAGTCTCACCCCATTAGAAAATAAAAACCACTACCACCACCTATCGTGTCCATGTTTCATTCCAGGATAAAAACTCAAGTTAGAGCAAACAATATCATGACATTTCAACTCATATTATACAAGTCTAAGTATACAAGGTTTTGATTTTATGACCGAGCGGCTGCTTGATGTCAACCGTCTAATGGAAGAAACAATATATATTTACAAAATATTATTAACATCGATTGAGTATATTCGGAGATTAGTGTGAATACCATGGTATGGAATTTTTATATCTTACTAATATAATTAAATTGTACTCGTAAGTAAATGATGTCTGTACATGGAAGATATTTAAGAATAAGTAATATGAGGATCTTAATAAGACTAATTTTGCGTCTGCCAAAATAATAATTTTTAGAAAGTTTGTGTGTCTGTCTGTATATTTGTTCCGATATTACACAAAAATTACTACGCCAAATTGGATGCGGTTTTCACAGTTGTATTTCCGAAGACCTCATTTAAAATCTGATGCATGTTCTTGATACTCCATCTAGGAATGGTCTATTTAATTTTTTTTCTACTTCTAAAATCCACACGTAGGAGTAGGCAAAATGTTAATATGTACATATTAAGATATGATTGTTAATTGTACCTTAAAGGCACGCTGTCTGTTACCAATGGTTCTTTCTTATTACGCTTGTATAGGGATGGATCCCATTCATAATCTTTCATTTGGTCATACCAATCATAACTGAACCAGTCTTTATATGAGTTTATCTGAAATGTATATTTATTAATAATAGTAACCTACAATATTTTTTTAATAAAAACTTTACTTTTTGGCATTGGACATACCCCACGATGCAGTATGTGCCTGCCCATTAAAAAGACCTATGTTCTCTCAGACATGTCTGCAAAATTTTGCTTACATTCTGTATTGGAACCAGACGATTCTGGGGTGGGCACGTTATCCACCCTATCACTACGGACTAAAGAAAAAAATATTTTCTATACATTATAACACAATAGTGCCCTCATCAGAATAAATTAATTGTACTAATTATAATACCGGCCAAGAGCGAGTAGGACTCAAGTATCGAGGGTCCTGTACAAATTATAATTGAAAAATATTTTTTACAAATTTACTGTTTTTTAATTTTCCCCTTTATTTGCACTGTATGAAAAGCTTCTTGCCAAAATCCATGATTCTATATCAACGGGAAGTAACTTACAGGTTTTCATTCCCCTCCAAATGTCAGAACATATCCTATAAACGACGATATCTTTTGATCTTTTGATTGCGTTAACTTAAAATTTTGACTATTTTACAGCTTCAAACGAATGCAGACTTGAGTATTTGATATTAATTTCAGCTTCGAATCTCCACGCGATACCTCATGAGTGCCGGATAGATATACGGACAAAAACTAATAAGGGTCCGTTTTTCCTTTTAGATACGGAACCCTAAAAAGGGTTGAAAAATATAAGTACCTAAATGAATTCTATTAGGTGAATACCTATAGTGAGTACGAGTGTACAAATCTAAGGATATACATATTTCTAGCTCTCACTATACATACCCCACAGCACTTTAACGACCACTGTAAGTTATCCATAAACTTTTTATAGTTTAAGAAACTTCTATAATTCTTCATGCTAATATTAAGGTGTTTTGAGGTAGCTTCTGACACGAGTATATTCGATCGATGCATATAATTATAGCCGCAATGGCTATGATTACGATCCAAAATACACTTAACCACAATGGACAACAGACCACTTTGGCTTTATGACTGAAAGATAATACTTAATTAAAGTATATGGCTGGCCCTACAAAGGCACAGAATAAGCGACACATTAAGACACGTTGTAAAAAGTAAGTACCGAATACTAAAACCTTTTTGAACTATGAACAAAGTTTATTAAAACTAGATCGATGTTTTATAACTATCTAATTGAGATTGTTAAAACTGTAATGAGGTAGTCACAATAGGTACGACATCGATGGATGTCTATGACAAAGTTTTATCGCCTATGTCAGAGCTGAACTAAATGTAATTTTATATCCACTAATACTGAATAGTTATATATTTATTTGAGAACTAATTTTAAGTTATATGTATCTTGTGTGAACGAAATGCTTGAATAATTTTAGGCTGTGTTCCATAAACAACCGACTTTAATAGTAGCAAAACCAGTTATTTTTGAATTAGAAACTTAATTTTTTAAATTAAAATAATTAGTAATAACTAGTAGTTTACTTCCGAATCGATTTTGATAAAATTTCTATGGGGACAATCTATAAGTATAGCCTTTCAGATAAAAAAGAATTTTCCAATCAGTTTACAACTGACGAAGTTATGAGGTAACAAACAAAAAAAAATAGTACAATCGAATTGAGAACCTTATTTTTGGAATCGGTTAAAAAACAAATAATAGGTAAATAAATACTACACTCAATTTTCTTTCCATTAGCAATAGAATACAATATGTGAACATTAGTAGGAAGCATTATTATTCCCAAAAGCAGCAAAAACGCGTTGACTAGATCTGTGCCAGTTATCCATAACATGTCTCCTACAACTAAAAAAATTAAACAGTCATAATACAGAAATGTGTGATCAATTTTAAAATAAGTAAGTAGGTAGGACATGCATATAACAGTCACTTAATCACGTTAAAATTATATTACTACATAGAAATCGTAAAAATTAATTGCAATAATGCTTGCTTTTATATGCAGATATAAAGGATAATTGCAAATAGTTTTTGCTACGCGGTAAAAATGTATTACATCATCATTAATTATTAGTTAAAAATAAATATATACTTCTCTACAAATCTTGCATATTGCTATTACAATAAAATTGTAATTAGACGATGTCTGTGCATAAGAAATATTTAAGAAAAATATATATCGAAGGCCTTCATTAAAGCTATAGAAATTCTAATGAAACAATCTAAATAATTAATATGTGTGTGAACTTACAAAAAAACATCAGCAGCGACCATGTTATTGAAAAAAATGATATTAACCACAAAAAACATGCAGCCCATAAAATGAATGGATGATTTTGTCCCTCACATTTCATTCTAAACTTTAATACACAATAAAATTCTTATCGAAAATAGGTATGTGTCACTTGTTACTAATAATCAAATCAAAATCAAATTTAAACAAAAAAAAATCAGAGCATAGATAAGTATTTCCGGTAAATTACTAAATTTAAATATCTTTGTGTATATCAGTTTGAATGTGAACTCCAACCTACTTCTAAGAATAAAATTTATATTATCGATCTAGATTACAATCCAATATAATGCAGGTTATCCATTTTATGATTATTTGCTTAACGATAATACGATAAATCGAATAGAAAAACAAACTAATTTATAGGTAATCGGCCATGTTTGTCCTTAGTAATCCATAGATTTTAGAAAATAATTGTCACGACTTTATGAACCATATTAGTCATTGAAATTAATATAAGTCTCATTAAAAATTGCCAACAATAGATATTGTATGAAGTGATAAATGCGCAGTTAGAGATTCTGAATTAAGATAGTCATAAATAGGTACCAACACTGTGCTTCATCCTAATGAAAAGTACAACTAAAGAGTAATAACTTACTATGGTCGTCCTGAAAAAAGTAATAATAAACCATATTATTAACTAAACAGTTCAAATTATAACATTTATGTACAGGTAATAAAGTAAAATATAGATTCAGTAACAAACAATAAAATATATTTCAGTAATAATATTACAATTTTCAAATAAATCATAGACAATAGGGCTTATAACCTATTTAATGAGCAATAAATTCGATAAAATGATATTTATAAGTAACTTAATCTAATAATAAAAGTTTTGTACAATATATAATTAAATCAGAACACTTACAAGTTAACATTTTTAATTTTTTTTTTATCTTAAGTAATATTTATTTTCTTACCTAATAACTAATTATTTAAGTAAATAATAAGCATTATATTTAAAAATTAACTATTTTTTCAGCTACATTCGCATTTTGACGAATCATTATTATTACCGCTTATTCACAAATATCACGATTCACACTTCAATTTATTTATATATATGATCGCCTGTTCATCCTTTTTACAATCTTTAATCAAAACAATAAATCTCCAAAATATTATACGATAGTTATAAACCAAGATTCACTCATGAATTTACGTCACTAGTAATATCGTTAAAAATCTTTATCTTATCGCATAAGTGTTTGGTTGTAATTCTTTGCTTTTATTACAATTTCTATATAATAATAATATACCTAATTATAGTAGTGGAGAGTATAAATTTTTTTAAACAACGTAGGTTATTGGCAATCAAGCATTCAGTCTACCTGATGGTAACACCTTCCGGCCTTCGCAACTCATAAGCACTTGCAACACCATGAGTATTACTCGCGCCTTAAATACATCAGTACCAAGTTAATATTGTGTGGTATATTTTATTCAATGAACGTCTCAGGACGAGTCACATCGCCCATTTTCTTTATTTTCGGTGCGACATTAAATTCGCAGCCAGTGCTCACCAACACATCCTCTACAGTAACACCATCAGCCAGTTCGGTCAGCGTAAGACCTTTTTCCTTGTCCACTACAAAAACGCACTGAAAATTAAATTATTATAAATCAATTGTATATATTAATGTAGTATTTAAAAAATAATAAAATAATCCTCCTTGAAAATAATACTTATTTTAATGCTGATAACCCTTACATTAAAAAGTGAGAGGTGGTGACCCTATTGTATTTACCACTGTAAATGACTACAATAAAAAATGTCAAATAAAAATCTCTTATCTCAATGAGTTTTTTATAACATATAAAAAGCCAGAATGACTATTAATTTTATACTATCTTACCTTCTCTGTTATTATCATATCAACACAATTCTTCCCAGTGAGCGGCAATGTACATTCAGGTACAATTTTATGGCCACCATTTTTAGCCGCATGCTCCATAGTGATACAACCTTGTTCTTGGTGCTGATACCAAGTCCATGGCACCACCCATACCTTTTACCATTTTACCCTGTTCAAAATAATTATTTGAGTAATAAATAGCATGAAAATATAATATACATAATATCTACCTAGACAATTGCTCATTGTGTATTCACTAATCCATGCATGCTGTGTAAGTAGATAATATTTAACATAAATTACTCACAGGTATCATCCAGTTAGCTAAATCGCCATATTGAGAAACCTGCATGGCTCCCAATATAGTCAAATCAATATGCCCGCCACGAATCATTGCAAAACTATCATCGGACGAAAAGAATGACGCACCTGAAAAAGATAACGAAATCATAATTAAAAAATATGCCCTACAAAAAAAAAACCGACTTCAATTGTGACAAAATCTTCTTGACTTAAAAACTAAACAAACTGAACCGATTTTGATAAAATTCCTATGAGATTAATCTGTAAGTATACCCTTTCAGATAAAAAAAATAATTCCAAATCTATCAAGAACTGATGGAGTTATGAGGTAACAAACACAAAAAAATTTACAATTGAATTGCGAACCTTCTTCTTTTTAAAGTCAATTAAAAATAAAAAATAAATTGGAATTCTATTTCAAGAAATATATTTGTTCTTTATTTTTATTTATTTAATTAAACATATTATACTCATTTCTAACCAGGGAGTATAGTCACAGTTTCTTTTCCAGCATTAATAAGATCAGCATCCACCTCTTCCTCTGATGGGAAAGGTCCAAGACCAAGAATTCCATTTTCTGATTGCAACAGTACATTTACATTTCTTGGTATGTAATTACTAGCTAACATAGGCATTCCTGAAAATAAATTTATAGTTACAGTTTATAGATATCCTATTATATAATATTATAAATGTGAAAGTTTGTAAAGATGAATGGATGTTGGTACTGTTTCATTCAAAAATCGCTGAACATATTACAATTAAATATCTTATATAAATAAAATACAAAAGGCAAATGTTCTTTACTTCACTTGACTGATGATACCATCTTGTATTTCCGTCTTCATAAGTTTATAAAAACCCCTTTCACATTTAATACCTTGGAAATTTAGGAGAAAAAAGCATCTAATTTCTCACTAGATAAAAATTAAAAATTCTGTCATGTAATTTGTTATAAATAAGTAATATCTAGTACAAAAGTTACAATATACCTATTCCAAGATTAGCATGCATCCCATCTTTAAATTCCAAAGCTGCTCTTTTAATGATTCTTTCTCTTAGGATATCTGATGATTTCTTCTCCTTTTGTATTACTGGTTTAGTTACAGTTCTTCTTTCTATCCTTTTCTCATAATTTTCGCCTTTTATTATTCTATGTACATATATAGAGGGCACATGTACAAAATCAGGTTCAATTTCATCAACTATTTCTTCCACTTCGGCTATTGTAATACGTGCAGCTCTACACATTGCTGGATTGAAGTTTCTTGCACTTTTTCTAAATATTAAATTTCCATATTTATCTGCTTTCCAAGCCTTTACAAGAGCAAAATCACCTGTAATGGCTTCTTCTAATATATAATCTTTACCCCCAAACTGTTGCTCTTTCCTGGCTGTACTGGGTATATCAATCTAAAAATTTAACTACATATCAATTTTAGATCAACATATTTTCTCATATACAGTAATGGAAAAAATTAAGGTATCAAAAAAAATTTGTAGAGACATTTTAAAAAAAGCAAATTGTAGCTTACACTTTACTTTGCAAAAACCCATGAAAAGCCCTATTTTTGTTGCATTTTCCAAAATATGCCATAAATGAAAAAAACAATGGCTCATCCTTATAGGAAATTTATTCAAGTTTCTGGAACCCACCTTCAACTTTCTGTGCGATCATTATATGGCATTGTTGTTCGATATTTTTTTTTTTTTTTATTATTTTTTTTTTTTTTTTTTTTTTTTTTTTTTTTTTTTTTTTTTTTTTAAACTTTTATTATATTTATTATTATTTATTAAATACAAAAAAAAAAAAAAAAAAAAAATTACAACAGCGAGTACATTGGACCCCGCACTAGGAGAACCTGTATCGCGGGAGTCCATATGAGATTGCAAGACACATTGGTTTTACAAACTCTCTCTCTCTCTCTCTCTCTCTCGGTCGGCACGGTCTCTCTCTCTCTGGGGGGAGAGAGAGAGAAGAAAG